TCGGCTAGTTGTTTATTAAAGACATGATTAAAGATTAAAGACCATAGTCTATAGATAATAGACATATTATTTAAGTGTTTGACAAATAAATAAATTTTAAGATGAGAAAGAAATTTCGGGGGGGTGGGGGGTTTAAAACCCTAAAACCCTACCCCTGCGTACGCCACTGACTATCTATAACTAGGAAAATAACCAGTGCGAGGGCCAGCTTTTCACAAACGCGTCCGAGTTAAATACTTAATCTATGGTTAAATATTATACCGTAGATGGCGCTGACGTTATCGAATTAAATTAATTTAAATGATAATACCGGCCATTGGTGTTTGGTTAAATTCAAAGCTAACCAAATCTAACAAAACCCAAAAAAAACGGCGTGTAGCTCGGCTCGCGGTTCAACTCGTCGTCCATGGTTGCGCCATGGAACTGCCCGATAGAATGTATAATGTATAATAATGTGACGAGCTGTTCGGCTAGTAGGTATCTACAAGACGATCACTTGCGACGGGCCCCGATCCTTATCAAGTATTAACATTTCTATAGTCCATCTAACTTRGGTCATATCATAGACATATTTATGTCTATGGGTCATATTTATTGGATAGAGCTATGATTTAATATTTTGAAGCATAGCAGTTTGGGCCCGAAGTCATCATTGCGCATGCGCAAAATTGTTTTATGATAAGGGATTACTGATGAATACACAAAACACAAAATAATACTTAAAGATATTACTAGGGATCGGATTTATATGTAATATGTAAATACATATTTTTACTGTGACTTGATAAATTAATTTAGGTAAGCGTTATAAATTCGTTTCAAGGGATTTCCATTGTAATGAACTATATTTTATTTTACATATTTTTACATATTTTGTCATAAGTACATATTTTTACATATCTCTCAATAATTCCATTTTTCCCTACATATTTCGACAATTTACGATTTATTAACAGTTGTATACTTACGATGTATTCGATTTCCCATGTCTCAAAAAGTACGTAAACAAAATAATACCAATTACCAAAACAGCGTATTACATAAAAATCCTGTCTTGACTGCCTAAAATTAATTAGAGATACACATTGTGAAATGAATGGGGTAATATTTTCGGCTGAACTCACTGCTTTGGACATTGTAAATATGAAATTTGCACCTATAACTTCGGTGGAATTCGAGCGCTCCTTCAGTCGGTACAAATCTGTGTTACGACCAAACCGTAGATAATTTACCTTTGACAATTTGAGCATGTATATCTCATTGCTTTCAAGATCAAGATAAAGATGAATAATAGTAGTAAAATAAGTAAATTAGATAATTGTGTGAATTATAAAACTATTTTTTTGTAATTTTTTCGTATTCCATATTTTMATTTTTTAATCATCACATATTATAAAGTGATTTATTATTACATATATATTTACATTTTACATATTTTGGTTTTTTTAATACATATAAATCCGAGCCCTAGATATAACTGTCGTTATAAATATTATATACACATTATTAGTTCCTTCCCCGTCCCGCGCGATTTATTTCATTTCTCACGCAAGCAACACAGACTACGCGTGATATACGTTATAGATCTATCCAGTGTATATGATCTAATGCATCCAGGGTCGTATCTAAAAAAAAATTAGTTTGTGGAGGGGGGGTGGTGGTTCAGAACATATATATTGTGATTTTATTGAATTTAGGTTTTGATAGTTGGTTGAAAATAAAACAAAACAAAAATTAATCTTCATATTTTATCAAAATACGAGTATAATAATAAAAAAAAAAATTAATTTGATATTTTGTCACCTTCGCTATACAAGAAATGAAACAAAAAAATTTACAAATACAATATTATATTTTAAACTTATATTATGCTAATATTTTCTTAAAGAGCAAACTGATTTAAAACTTCTTCGAAATCGGGATGAA